CTACCCAGGTGCCCTCAGAGACCTGGGACTAGCCTGGCCCAGTCCAGCAGCCACCCAGTGGCTGAGTCACCTGGCCAGCTCAGCCCAGAAGCAGCCCAGCCTGGTGAGGACAGCAAGTGACCAGCTTGACCTAGTCCTGCAGTATAATTGACCAAGCCCAGAATGGCTGCTTCTCCAGCAGAGGGATGTGGAGTGAGCTGCCCAGTATCAACCTCAGGCCTTATGGGACCCTCTAGAAAAATAAAGTACTTCAAGGCCCTGTGGGTCTGGAGTTCAGTGATTTTCTATTGAACCTCCTCTACAAAATACAAACCCCTCAGACTGCCATTAAAACCCCCTACAATGTGACTCCCATCCACCTTTACCATCTTATTTCATTTACTCACCTTTAAGCACTTGGCATTCCAATCAAACTGGTCTGCTATGCTGCTCCCTATACATGGTGGCAACTCCCACCTCCAAGCCTTTACTCGGTCAGCTGCTGGCAACAACCCTTTGAGACAGATTCTACCACTATTTTTATCCCCATTTTACAGGTGAGGAAACTGAGGCTCAGATAGGTTAAGTGACTTGTGCATAGCTCACACAGCTGGTAATTGTCAATTGATTCAATTGTGAGCCAGCATTTATTAAGGGACCCCTGTGTGTCAGGCACCATGCTGAGTGTTGGGGTTATAAACGGGAAAGTGTCTCTGCTCTCAGGAAGCTTATATTCTCCTGGCAGGGTATAGTGCACATCCAGGAGAGGTGGGTAGGGAAGGGAGCTTTGGTCTGAGGAGTCACTGAGCAGAGCCGCAGGGAAGATATTGCCATTCTGGCTTGGGGGGCAATGGTCGGGGTATCGCCTTGACTATCGTTCCCTGAACAAGAGAGAGGACTCAGAGAGTTGGGTGCTGGGAAGGGCAGAGGGCGATGTGCCTGGGCTGGCAGGGCCCTGATGTCCTGTTGGATGGCTACATGACCCGAAGCTTGACCTAGGCTAGACTCACCCAGTGCCCATCCCAAACTGAGTGGATTAGCTCCCCCAGAATGGGGATGGGGCCTGGGGGTGGGGCAGATGGCAAGATAACCACACTGACTAGTCCCTGGTGTCCTGGATGGATGGATAGAGTGTTAACCCAGCACAGCCAGCGATTTTGGGAAAGTGTCTTACATTTCTTTGGGCCTCCATTTACCCGTCTGTAAAATGAAAGAGTCCTTAATTATACAGAACCAAGTGATCCCCCTATTCTGCTACCTCTCTGCTCTCCAGCATTGCAGAATCTCCCTTACCTCCTTTCACATAGTGTCAGAACCAAGAGGGTCTTTTTGTTCCAGCTGACTTCGTGATCCCATCTGGGGTTTTCTTGGCAAAAATACTGGAACACTTTGCTGTTTCCTTCTCCAGCTCATTTTACAGATGAGGAAACTGAGGCAAACAGGGTGAAGTGACTTGCCCAGGGTCACACAGCTAGGAAGTGTCTGAGGCCGCATTTGAACTCAGAGACATGAGTCTTCTTGACTTCAGGCCAGTGGTCAGTGCTCTTAGCTGCCCCAAGAGGGCCTCAGAAACACTTAGGTGCCTTAAGATTCAAAAAACACTTTGCTTCCATATCTCATTTGAGGCTCTAGGAGCATGGTCATCTCTACTTTACAGATGATAGAAGGCTCCCCCATTGTCACCAGTTCAAGTATCTGCGGTCTAATTTGAACACACCTGTTTTGATTTCAAGGCCAGTGCTCTATCTGTTCTCCCATGATGCTTCTTTTTTATTTTTTTGGTGAGGCAATAGGGGTTAAGTGACTTGCCCAGAGTCACACACAGTTAGTAAGTTTTATGTGTCTGAGGCTAGATTTGAACTCAGGTCCTCCTGGCTCCAGGGCTGGTGCTCTATCCACTGCACCAACTAGCTGCCCCATCCCATGATGCTTCTAATCAGCCCATGCTACAGATGAGGATACTGAAGTGGGTCTGGAGAGGAGGATGCCCTTGCCCACTGCTTGACATTTAGTCAATCCTCAAGTCCTGTGGATTCTTCCATTCTAATGCGTGGTCTGACACCTTTCCTTCTTTTCTCCTTTCCCTGACTCCACACGCCCGCCCCTCTCAGGGCCCTACTATCTCACACCCGGAAGACTGCAGAGGCCTCCCTCCCGCCAACACTGCCACTTACTTTCAATTCATTTCAACATTTATTCATTTTAATACTAATGAAATTAATTTCCTAAAAGCAAGGCTTGGATTCCTCGTGACCAATCGGAGCGGTCCCAGGCTCTCACAGAAAGGTTGTTTCTCAAGACTATCGGGATCTGGATCTGGCTGGACCCAGAAGGACACTCAGGGGGCTAAGTCTAGCTTGTCTTGGGGTCAAACAACCCGAGCTGCACTTCTGTCTTTGCTACTGACCCAGGCCACCCCCTTCATCTTACAGATGAAGAGACTGAGGGCCAGAGAGGTTAGCGCCCTCCCAATGCACACAAGCAGAATTTAGAGCTGGAAAGGACCTTCAAGATCTAGGAGAATGTCCCTATTTTATAGTGGAAGAAACCGAGGCCCAGACAGTTCGGTGGCTTGCCCAAATTCACACAATGAGTGGCAGAGCTGGGTCACTCAAGCCTGGCATAAGTATTTGAACCTTCCCTGCCCAGTCTGCGTCTCCTTCGTGAAGCTTGCCCTGCTTACCTCATCTAGAAAGCCCTTCCTGCTGCTCCAGACTTCCGAGTGCTTATTCCCTGGAACGGACCTTTGACCCTCAGATCCTGCCCTCCTCCTCAGTGTCCTGCTCTGTCACAGGATGGGGCCGCCCTCCAGGTTCCCTGTGGCCCTCCCAGCTCTGCCGTGCTGAGAAAGCCAGAAGCCAGATCCAAACAGGGCGGGAGGAGCCAGGGGGCCCTGGGTGACGTTGCCAGGTGGGATCTCACCCCATCCCCCACCCCACCACCCTTGGTGAGAGGACACGGTGGGAATTCAGGTTCGCTGTTAATAGAATTTCCAATCCTTTTGTTTTCTAATGTCACATCATCATAGAGGTGCCTCCTGGAATCCTGAAGGGGAATCCAGCAGAATCCATGAGCTGGCCAAACCCTGCCACTAGCTTTGTGACCCTAAGCGAGTCACTCAGCTTCTCTGTGCCTCAGTTTCCTTAACTGTAAAATGGGGATAATATTAGCCCCTTTGTTGATCATCACTTAGGACCATAGACTTACTATAAACTAGGACTCAGTCTAAGCCTTTCATTTTACAGATGGGGAAAGTGAGGCCTTCTGCCACTGCCCAGACTCACAATAAGAAGATCATAAGATCATAAGTCTTCTGACCCCATTCTCCTTCTGCTGTGCTGAAGCCTCAGCTTCCTCACCTGTAAAATAAGGGGATGGGCCAGATGGCCTCTCTGGTCCCTTAGTGAAGGGGCTTGACCCCGTCCAGGTTCACGGTCCCCTTCAGAGAAGCTTCTTTCCAGCTCTAAGAACTTGGGATCCTTTAAGGGAGGCAGGCAGGCAGGCAACCTGCCCTTTGTTGGGGAAAGTAGTCATGTACAGAAATCAGAAGGCGCCTTCAGGATAGAAGGCACTTCACGTGTATTTGTTGAATGAATTTAAAAGCAGGAGTGAACGAGCTTATTGTCTTCAGTGAATTCTTTGACAAAGATCAGTTGTTTATCTTCCATTGATTTGCTGTGGTGACAGAGAGCAAAGCAGGTTGTCCAGCCCCTGGTGGAAAGGATTCTTAGATCTGCCACCATCGGGACCGAGGGGCAGCAGTAGATTTCCTTGAGGAACCAGGAGAAGGCTGAGTCAGAGGGATTTGCTTATTTGCATCCTAACTTCTTGGGGGCCAGGATGACACCGTCTCTTATTTGAATGTAGCTGCCTTCAGGGGCAAATCCGGTCCCCAGGTGAAGGCTACCGGGAGGCAGTTACCACTGTTAGCCCCAGCCTGCCTCAGAAAGGGGAAGAATCTAGGTCACACTCAAATAGTCGAGATGCTGGCGCCTCTAGCTTCAGTTTCTTCATCTGTAAGATGAGGAGGTCGGAAGACAGCCTCTGGGGTCCATCCTAGCCTGCGCTTAGGATCCTCTGACCCTCTGAGGACATGTCTGTCTCTCCCATTGAAAAGACAGAGATAAATGCTTTCTTTCAAAGAGGATCAGGCCAACGATCAGTCTTTGGATGCGAGCATCTACCACAACAGTGTAGGCCTGTAGTTCATTTTGGGGCATACACGTTTCCCCAGAGATGTTGCTGTCCACAGGACATTGCTGAATCTCTAGTGGGCACTTCTTGGAGACCAAAGGGCCTCTTCCTTCCACTGAAGAGCATAGAAAGTGGGGTGGGGGCACTTCTTAAGTGATGCCAAAATGACACCACCATTGGTAGCAGGGGAAAGAGAGTACTGGATTTGGAAGCAGAAAGCCTGGGTTCGAATCCCAATTCTGCCATTTATTACCTTCGGAGCCTCAAGCGCATCACTTGGTCTGGGCCTAGGTTTCCCCACCTGTACAGTGAGAGGGTCTGACTAGCTGATCTCCAACATCCCTTCCAGCTGTAGAGAGGTGATGGGGATTCCTGGGCCCAAAGTCAAATTATAACGTGGGGAGCAGTAGCGGGGGAGATTGGGGGAGGGGGCAGGATTGCAGCCGGTCCGTTTCCCTTTGGGGCCTCGGCTAGAAGGAAGAGGGAAAAGGAAGCGGCAGCCGGTGGAGTTCCCAGGCTCCGGGGAGCCCCAGGGGAGAGGGACTTGGGGCAGGTAGAGCAGTGGTCTAGGACCGCCGGGGAGGAGGGGTTGGGGAGGTGGAGGATTGATTTCCTGCACCTGGGATGAGCTCACGCCTCACAACCCCCCACCCCCACCCCCATTCCCGGGCAGCCTTCCTGTTCTCTATTGTTCCCCGGGGTCCGGCCGCGTCCGGCAGCCCAGGCAGCCCGCCCGGGCACTGCGCGGCGCCGAGGGGGGCAGCGGGAGAGGCAGGTAGGGCGGGGCCTGCGCACCTGGGCTGGGCAGGAGGAGGCGCGGCCGGCAGGGACTGGGCGTGGGGAGCAGGAGGAGGAGGAGAAGGAGGAAGAGGAGGAGTGAGGCAGGCTCGCTGAGGGTGGGCAGCGGCTGGCACCCAGCCCCGCGCACCAGCCGCAGTCGCTCCCGCGCCCTCTCCCTGCCTGGCACAGCATCCAAGGTTCGCGGCCGCTGCTGCGGGGTCCGGACGCCAGGAGCGCCGGCCGCGGCGGGCAACCGGGCATGAAGATGGCTGTGGGAGCCGTGAAGATGCAGCCCCCGCCGGCGGAGAGCCCGGAGCCCGCGGACCCCGGGACGTCGGGGGCCGCCGGGGCCCCGGGGGGGAGGCGGCAGCGGCGACGAGGGGGGAGCCCGGGAGCCCCGGAGCAGCCCCAGCCCCCGGAGCAGCAGCTGCGGCACCGGCTGCGGGACCTGCCTGCTCTGCTGCGCAGCGGGCTCACCCTGCGCAGGAAGAGGAGCGCCGGCGGCGGCAGGGTGAGTGACCAAGGCCGGGACCCCCGCCGGCCGGGCCGGGTGGTGACGGAAGGGAGCGCAGGCTCTGGCCCCGGGCACGTGCTGCCTGCCGCCTCGAGCAGGAGCGGAAGCTCTCCCCCACCGAAGCCCACTCTCTCTCACACCCTGGAAGTTCGGGGCTGGGGCTGCAGCTGGGGGAGGGGGCGAAGTGGGGGCACCCAGCTGCGAGACGTGGCTGCAGGACACAGCCTCCGTAGCTCAGGTCTGGGGTGGGTGACAGAACAGCCCCCTGGCCTTCCACTCCTTCGGGGCGGGGCAGGGGGGGAATCTCTGATGGCCCCCAGCTGCTCAGGACCTGCAGGTGGCTTCCCCTCCCGCCAGAGACTGCGGCCGCGGGCCTGGCCCAGCGCGTGCCTCGGGGAGGGGGGGGAGTGGCCCCTGAGTTTGGGTGCTTCCTGCGTGCAGCCCCTGGGGGGCTCCCAGCAGTGACTTTCCCGCTCCGCGTCCGGGGACTGCTGCTTTAAGGCCCCAGGTCAGGTGGGCCCTGGCTCTGTTGCTTGTTTGCTGACTTTATGGCCTGGGGCTCAAACCCCTCCTGCCAACTCGGGGTTGGTGCCCGCCCTGAAGCCCAAATATCTCCAAGTGGGGCAGCCGAGGATCCTTGACGCCGACAGTCTGACCGTGCTCTCGTTCTGAGTCCTGGGTCACCGACCTCCAAGCGTAGCTAAAGAAACCCAGTGCTTCAGACCTGTGGAGGCAGAGAAAAAGAGTTGGAGAGCTGCTCGTGGGGAACAGGCTTTGAGTGCATATCCGGGCCCTGCTGCGTGTGGCATATATGACCTTGGACAAGTCATTTCCTTCCCCCGGCCAAAGTTTCCCTCTCTTTCAAATGAGGTGTTTGGTTTAAGGGATCTCCAGCTCCTCTGCAGCTCTAGAAGGGGTGGCTGCCTCTGCTCTCTGAACAGCAGGGAGTTTTCCAGGAGTTGTCCGGTTGAATCTTTCTTAAGAATCCCAGACACCTGCCCAGGCTCTCTTCAGAGCCCATGGCTGCTGGAGCCCTCTGCACAGCTGCCTTTCTCGCCCCCTCTTTTCCATGTTTAAGTGTCCCTGGATGTGCAGCCCCAGGCTTCCAGTCATCCCACAGAAACAAGCATTGGTGGCCGTCTTGCTATTAGCCTCCTGAATTACAACAAACAGCAGCAGAGGCGATAAAACCCCTTCCTGCTCTGCCTTGTAATAATAGCTGGCATTGCTACAAGGGCCTACAATCGCAATGGAACCTCTCAAGGACCCCCTGAACAAGAGATTGTTACTTTCATATTACAGGTGAGGAAGTGACTTGCCCAGGGTCATACTGCTTGGCCATGTCGGTGGGAGCTGAACCCACCATTCTGTTCCCTAGAACACATTGCTGCTCATTATTAAATGGATACCTGGACTAAATTTAAAAAAAAAAGAGGCTCCTGGAAGCTTTAGGGTCATGGAGGGCAGGAGACCTTACCCTTGTCTGTGGTCCGTGTTGCATACAGAGGATGTTATTTAACACATAGACGATTAAGCAAGCACATTGCGTACCTTCCTTTGATTCTTGGCTTGTTGATGTAGCCAGGCAGATTCAGTCCAGCTCTTGCCTTCATTTCACCTTCTCTCTTCCACCCACAATCCTTTGCAGGACTGTAGCCCTTTGCCAGGCATGTACTTCCTCCACATCTCTAGCTCTCAGAATCTTTATTTTTCTTCAAGGTTTATCCCAAGGGCTGTCAGGGAGCTAGAGACATAAAGCTGCCAAGGATCTCAAAGGATATCTTGTCCAACCCCTCATTTGACAGATGAGGAAACTGAGGCTGAGTTGAATAATTTGCTTAAGGTGACACTCAAGTGATGGAGGAAGGCTCTGGATCCCCTGGGTTCTTAGGGCTCTGGGCACCTGTTACATCTTCCCAGGGGCCGTCACCTTCCTGATGGCATGGCCTGGGGCTCATTTATTCTCACCAAATACAGCAGTGCATCGCGCTGTGCCTTGCAGGGCAGCATCAATGCTTGTTGAATGAAGTTAGGTCTGTCTGCTCCAAGAATGAAGGGTGTGTGCATGACCTGGGTGCCCATCTCAGACAGTCTGGTGGGCACTGAAGGGTCATAATGTGGGGCTCCCAAGCTCTCTTATCCAGATGGGCTGATGTGAAATGGGCTGGCCATGGGCTGCCCTGAGAGGGATGGAGGGAGCCAGTGCTGATGAAGAAGTGAGGAGGAGAAGGTGGAAAATCCATGGGCTTCTGAGTGGGGCAAGAGGAAAACACTGGAGCCAGTGAGGGTGTGGAGGAATCGAAAGGCTCCGAGCTGCAACGACTTCTCAAGAATCTAGGGAAAAGTAGGTCAAACCTCATTCCTATTATCCCTGACAGTTACTTTTTGTGGCAGAGAATACCGAAGACAAGGCTGCAGACAGGCTCTCTGTGACAGAAACGGGGAGGAGAGCTGCACCATTCAGGTGCACTGCAGGCAGTTTTCAGTCGGCGGCATTGGTGGCCGTAGACCACCGTAGGAGCAAAGGCTGCTGGGGTTTCCCTGCTGATTCTGGTTGTTGGGAATCATCTGTGCTTTGAGGTTAACCTTGTCTTTGTAATACCCGATGTGAAGTAGAGATTCCTCAGCCTGTCATTCAAGGCCTTCTGTGGGTCTTTTCTAGCCTTTTTTCATATTACTTTTCATACACAACACTACATCTCCCATCTTCATATCTTTGCACTGGCTGCACCCCATGTGTGGAATGCACTCCTTCTTTCACAGCGCCTTTGACTCTCCAATTTCCTTCAGGCTTCAGTTCAAGTACTCCCTCCTACAGGAAGCCTTCCCTGGTCTCCTTCAATGCCGTTGCTTTCCCAGCTCCCATTATTATTCTACTTGGGTTTCTTTCCCAAATATGCTAATCAACCCATCACAAGCATTTATTAATTGATCATGGTATGCTGGGCACTCCGCTGCTCTACTCAGCGCATGACTTTGTGCCCAGAACTCTGCTGAACGCTGGGGTTACAAAGTAAGACAGAAGCAGTCTTTGGCCTCCGGGAGTTTCCATCCAAGGGCATATGTGTCCACACGCTCTCCCTTCACAGAGGGGAAGCTTCCTGAGGGCAGAGACTCTGTCTTCATTTTGAATTTCTGCTCCTCATGCCTAGGCGAGCACCTGGCACATAGTAAAGGCTTAATCAGTAGCCATTGCTGAGCTGGAACGATCTACATTTCAGCCTGACTCTCCTAGTTCACCTACCTCAATGTGCTGTTTCCTCCATGTCATCCCCTCTTCCCCCACACTGGGATCACCCTCCTTGGTCCCCTCCTTCAAAGCTGAGCTCATGACTATGTGACTTTGGGCAAGTCACTGAGCCCCCCCCCCCCTGCCCCAGGGTCTCAGTTTCCTTATCTATAAAATGAGGGGTTGGACTTGATGCTTCAGCTATCTCCCAGCTCTGCCTCTATCAGTGCTCCCAAACTCAGAGGTGAAGTGACTTGTCCAAGGTCACACAGTTGCTATCAGAGGTGAGATTTGAATCCAGATCTTCTGACATCAAGTCAAGCCTGTCCACCACGCCAAGCTGGTTCTCTTCCCTTAGTACATCCTACTTTTAATGTACCAGGGACACTCTCTGACACCCCTCCAAACATAGATTGTAAACTCCTTGAGGTTATGCACTATATCCCCCTGTGCCTAGCACAGTGCCCTGAGCTTAAGAAATGTTTGCTGTTTATTTTTACCAAACAATGCAACCTCCCTCCCTCCCTTTTCCTTCTCTCTGTCTTCTTTTCTCCCTCCCTCCCTTCCTCTTTCCTTCCCTCTTTTTCCCTGTCTCCCTTCCTTCCTCTCTCTCTTCCTCTCTCCCTCCCTCCTGCTTTCATTCTTTCTTTACTCCCTCTCTTCTTCCCTCTCTCCCTCCCTCTCCCTTTCCTCTCTTTCTCCCTTTCTCTCCCTCCCTTCTTCCCTCCTTTTCCCCACAGAACCCACCTCAGGCCTGGTCCTTTGACTCCCAAATGCATTGGTCAGGAGGGTGAGAATGTGACTTCACTGGCACAAATCCATCACCTCTGCTAGAAAAGTACAATGGATGGAGGAGATGGGTTTTTGAGATTTGAGAAATGTGGGCCTATTTTAGGAATATGTGAATATCTGAGCACAGTGAACTGAGCCCAGACCTGAATGGAAGAATGCTTAGCCTGACTTTGGGAGAGTGTAATGAGCCCCTGAATTCTTTCCCAGAGCCAAAGGCCCATAGGATCTGGCTCTAATGCTGGACAGGCCCTCAGGGGTCCCCCACCTATCGGGGGAACCAAGACCTAGACAGATGAATTGACCCACCCAAGCCCCACAGATAGGAAATGTCAGAGGGAGGCTTTGAACCTGGGCCTCTCCCTTCAGAAGCAACACTCTTTCTACTGTACCCCTTTACCTTTTCAACATCAATATTCTTCGCATGATGTTATGTGACTGGGAGGCAGGGGAGGCCATAAATCAAATGAGGTAAAATTCTGTAAAGCACAGTGCTGCACACAGTAGGCATGCAATAAATGCTTCTTCCCTTCACCTTCCCCAAATGGTGACAGAGAAGCCCATGGTAGGCGTTAGTTGGCTGTTACCTATTACTAGTGGGGACAGGTAGAGAATGGGAGCACAGAGGTGTATGTTTGGAGCAAAAGCTGGGGCGATCAGTTGTGACGTGATGTGGCAAGATGGCGACCATAACCAATGGATGGCCTTCATGCTCCTCTGGTAGCTGTACCGTGTCAGAGCTAGAGAAAGGCTTCTAGGACATTGGGATGAGGCCTGGAGAAAAATGATGGGAATCCCTACAGAACAGCCCCACAAGAGGCGGGTAGGCCAGGATCTGTAAGGCCACACGGGCCCCACGCTTCTTGTCCTTTCTCCCCATTAAGTTGGACAGTCTTGAGCTGACTGTGCATTCCTTAGGCATCTAAGAGTCATGGGGCCCAGAGGAGTAGCCTTTCTCTAGCTGGTAATCCCATTAGTC